GATCTTCAAGGCTGGTCTGTCCAGGTATAGGGCAAGACCCTGTATCAAAATAAAAAGACAGACACAAATAACAGAGAATTCAAATTCCTATTATTTTGAAGCAAGAGGACCCTCAGCCAACCTTAGGGGGTGTTCAGGCCTGGGGAGGCAGCACCCTATAAGAACACTTGCCTAGCATGCTTGAGGCCCTGACTTCCATCCCTAGAACTGCACAGAAAGCACATGCTGGCACAGTTCTTCATTTTACTCACATAGAGAACCTCTGACTGACCCAAAAGGAAAAGAAAAAGTATGTGGCGAATCTGAGCAGGTGGAGGGAGCTCTGGGGGCTTCCAAGCCTCCTGGAGCCCTCTGAGAAGAAAGGTGGTCCCTTGGCGTAGGGGGCAGGTCTGTCTAACAAGCAAAGCTGGGTTCTCACCCTGGGTACTGTTCCTGACCTCAGGGAGCCTGTTAAAGAAGAACACGTACTCATCTAGCTGTGACTGTTGTCCTCTTCCAGGCAGCAGGCAAGGTGCTGACTGCTTCAGCCAAGCTCCATTGTACTGGGGCAGGAGCAGCTTCTGAATGGGCTTTTTGTCTGTTTGTCTCAGAGATTAATTTTCATTTTTAATTGTGTGTAGGTGTGTCTGTGTCTGTGTCTGCCAGTGGACATGTGTATGTGAGTGTAGAAGTGAGCCCAGAGGAGTCAGAAGCTCCCCTGAAGCTGGAGTTGCAGACGGTTGTGAGCTTCCTGGTGTGGGTGCAAGCTAGGAGCCAAACTTTGGTCCCCTGGGAGAGCAGCAAGTGCTCTTAACCACTGAACCATCTCTTCAACTCAAAATTTGCTTGTTTTTAATAGAACACATGCATATGCTCACACATGCGTGCACACATACACCCCTCTCACTGTATGGACCAGACTGGCCTCAAAATCACAGAGCCTGCCTCTGCTTCCTGAGTGCTGGAATTAAAGGCATCACCATGCCTGGCTTTTGTTTGTTTGTTTGTTTTGGTTTTTCGAGACAGTTTCTCTGTGGCTTTGGAGGCTGTCCTGGAACTAGCTCTTGTAGACCAGGCTGGTCTTGAAGTCACAGAGATCCACCTGCCCCTGCCTTCCGAGTGCTGGGATTAAAGGTGTGTGCCACGGCCACCCAGCCCATGCCTGGCTTTATTACCTCTTTAAAGATTGATTGGTTGATTGTGCGTGTCTATGTGAGTTTTGTACACTACACCCCTGCAAGAACCCTCAGAGGTCAGAAGAGGACATCTGTTCCTTGGAACTGGTTGTAAGCTACCATGTGGGTGCTGGGAAACAAATCCAGGTCCCCTACAGCAGCAGTGAGATCTCTTAACCACTGAGCCATCACTCCAGTCCCTAGGAGAAACCTTTGTGGAGTTGATTCTCTCCTTCCTTCCACTCTGTGGATCCCAGATATGGAGCTCAGATTACCAGGCTTGGCAGCAAGCCCCTTTACTCACTGAGTCATCTCTCTGACCCAGAGTCTATGTGTTTTTTTTTTTTTTTTTTTAAGGTAGTTTAAATGTATAGAATTGGTACAATAGTCCAGAGTTATCATATAACCCCAGAGCTCCCCATTTCAATGTCTTACATTACTATGGTACCTTCTTATGGCTATCCAGCAATCACATCCTATGCAGTATACTTTTGTGGTAGTGGTGACAGAGCTGAGCTTCAACAAGCATCCTAGCTAACCCCAAGTCCAAATACTGACTTGTTTGTTGTGGTTCTGGGGACTGAACCCAGGTCGTGCATGCTAGGCAAGTGTTCTCTCTACCATTAAGCTACACTACCACTACACCCCCCAACCCCCACCAATGACCTTCAAAAGATTTCTTAGAATGTATTGATGTTCAAGACCCCTGTAAGGCTGATTTGTTGGTGGTCATTTCTATCTTGCCCACCAGTTACCAAATAACTGACACAGAGGCGTAATATTAATTATAAATGCTTGACTGATAGCTCAGGCTTGTTACTAACTCTTACATTTAAATTAACCCATATTTCTTAGCTATGCTTTGCCACGTGGCTCATGGCTTGTTACCTCATTTTCTACATACAAGTCCTGCTTCCTCAGTGGCTGGCTGGTGTGTCTTTCAACTCCACCCTTCTTCATCCCAGCATCCTCAGTTTGTTCTCCCTGCCTATACTTTCTGCTTGGCTGCCAGCCAATCCGCATTTTATTAAACCAATTCAAGTGACCAGTCTTTACAGTGTATTCCACAGCACTGGTTTATACCCCAGATCCACTTCTTGCCACCAGACAGTGCTCCTGAGAAAGTTGCTTAACCTCTTGAACCTCTCAGTTAAGGAACAGAACCAATATTGCCACCTGACACTGACACCTTTTGAGTACCATGCATATAGCATGGTCCATATAAGCATCACTTGTTACTAGTGTTAGTCTAGCCTGCAGATTCCTTCTAGATTTCCTTCTAAGGTAGCAAGTCTTGTGGCAGTGAGTCACCACCTCTGGTCACCTCCTCTTCCTTCCCATCCAGCATTCTCACCCACCTTCTGCCTCTCACATCACACTCTGACAAACAAACTGCCTTCTCGGTGTGGCCACCACCAGTTCACACCTTTATTCATTCTCATCCCCTCAAACCCACCAGAGCCACCACTTCTGCTGTGACACTGCTCCAGAGCCAAGCAGCAAGTCCCCTTTCTTCCTTGGAACAGCCAGAGTCACAGACACTTGCAGCACTTACTACCTCAGACTGTGTGACAGCCAGGGCTGCTGGCCTACCTCTCTCTTCTATAGCTATCACTGACCTCCTGGTGCAAGCTTGTGGCACTTGTGGTGAGCTTTGACCAGACAAAGACTCTGTCTGCATCACTTGCATTAGCTGTAAATTTTCTGGTGGTGAAATATACAAGTCACAGAATTTACCATTTTAGTTCTGTTGAGGTGGTCACTAGGCCGTCTACTTATTTCCCATTTGAATGACTTCTTTGAAGACATAGCTGTTCAAGTCCATTGCTCCTGTTTTATGCTATGTATGTATGCAGATATTTGTGTATTATGCACATGTGTATATAGTGTGTGTGCGTGGTGTGCATATGTGCGTATGCACATGTGTATATGGTGTGTGTGTGTGTGTGTGTGTGTGTGTGTGTGTGTGTGTCTGTGGTATGTGGGTATTTGTGTGTTTGTGTGTGTGGTGGGTGTATGCATATGGAGGCTAAAGGTTGACTTCAGTGTTTTGTCCAATCCTCAACTTTTTTTCTTTTTTATGTCTTTATTTATTTTATGTGTGAGTATTTTGCATGCAAGCACACACACACATACACATATATGTATACCACATGCATGCCTGGTTCCCACAGAGGTGAAAAGGGGGTCAGATTCCCCAGAGTTAGAGTTACTGATGATTGTGAGCCACAATATCGGTGCTGGGAATTAAACTGGGTCCTCTGCAAAAGCAACACGCAGCATTCTTACCTGTTTATCACTCTTTACAACCCTTCCACCTTATTTTTTGAGACAATGTCTCTCTCTGGCTCTGGAGCTCACCAATTGGCTAGATTGGCTGCCCAGTGAGCCCCAAGGATCCTCGTATCTCCACCTCCCCAGAGCTCCCAGGGGTAAATGCCAGCCAGCTTTTTACATGGGTCCTAGGGATCTAAACACAGATGAAGCCCTCATGTGTACAGAGCAAACACTTAACCAATAAGCCATCTCCTTCTCTTCATTTGCCCATATTCTCATCAATCTGGGTGTTTTGCTGTTACTTGTCAGTCAGATGAACCTCCTTCTTAGAATTGCCTTTTCAATTCTTCATGTTATTTGAAATATACAAATTTTGTTATTTGTTGTGTTTGATTACTTTTACTTATTTTGAAACTGTCTTACTCTGTGGCCATTGATGGCCTGCCTGGAACACACTGTGTAGCCTAGGCTAGCCTCAAACTTTCAGCAGTCTTCCTCCCTCGGCTTTCCAGTTGCTGAGATTTTTACAAGGGTAAGCCACCATAGCTGGCTCAGAGTTTTTAAGTAATTAATTTATTAATTTCTTTTGAGGCAGGGTTTGTTGTAATTCAAAAAAGTGGCTCTCAAGACAGAGTTTGGTGCCGGGCGGTGGTGGCACACTCCTTTAATTCCAGCACTTGGGAGGCAGAGGCAGGTGTATCTCTGTGAGTTCAAGACCAGCCTGGTCTACAAGAGCTAGTTCCAGGACAGCCTCCAAAGCCACAGGGAAACCCTGTATCAAAAAACAAAAAACAAAAAACAAAAAACAAAACAAAAAAAAAAAAAAAAAAAAAAACAGAGCTTGGGTTGAGGATTTTTTTTTTTTTTAATTGGAGGAAAGTGAATGGGAAAAGCGGGGAGGGGAGAAAAGCCTCTGGAAATAGGAGCAGCAGAAGAGAAGAAAGAGGAGAGAGGGAGGGAGGGAGGGAAGGAGGGAAAGAGAAAAGAGAAGGGGGAGAGAAATGGGAGGTGAGTGGGGCTCTTTTGAAAGGGAGCACAGTAAATGTGCACAGGTGGTACTCTTAGTGGCTGCAACTGAAGATGTAGCCTGTCATAACCCCAAGGTCAGGCCAGTACAGATGCCTGAATACTAACAGTGTTTTTCTGTGTTACAACTCTGTCCTAGAACTTGCTGTGTTGACCAGACTGGCCTCGAACTCAGAGATTTTCCTGCTTCTGCTTTCCAAGTGTTGGGATTAACACTTGGCTTACAAGTTTTAAGTTTTGATGAAGCTTCAGTTTATCTCTTCTGTTCTTTTGCTGTCTGTACTTTCAGTGTTGTGTCTAAGAAACCATCACTAGGGTCGTGCTATAAAGCCTTTTCTCATCTCCTCTGAGGGTTTTAGTTTCTACTCTTAAGATTCAGACCTTTGGCATATATTAACTTCTTTCTGTGTGATTGGCAATCAGGGTCCATAGTCTTCAGTATGTGGATATTCAGTTTCCCAAATCACTTGTTGTAGAGATGAATCTTTCTTAGGAGTTCTAGGGCCGTGCTGAAATCATTTGACCAAACCTGCAAGGGTTGGTTTCTAGGGTTGCTCTTCAGCTCTACTGGTCTAGATATCCTTCTTTACACTGCTACCCCATTGTCTTGAGTACCGTGGATCTGTAGTGCATTCATTTTGAAGTCACGATATGCATGAGCTTTATAACCTTTCTTGATTATTTCAGCCACTTAGTCCTCTGAGAGTCATTATGAATTTTAGCATGAATATTTCTGTTTTTTCCAAACACTACTGAGGCTGGTACACACTTATTCCAATACTCAGGAGGCTAAGCCTGAAAGATTGGGGTTTGAGGCCAGCATGGAAGCAAGATTCTGTCTCAAAGTAAAAATTAAAAGGCATGGATGTGTAGGTCAACATTTTCCTAGCAGGTACAACAAGGTTTGGATCCTTAGAACTGCAAATCAAAGCAAAGTGTTATGCCTGGTATCTTTGAGACTCAGGCTGTAGGTTACTTTGAGTCCTATTAGTATCTTAGTATTAAGTCTTCAATGTCTGGGACATGGGGGTGGTATACCTGCATCTGAGTATGCAGGTGTAAGTGTCTGTATGCACACAGAGACTAAGAGGAGACAGGATGTCAAGTGACCTTGAAAAACTGGGTCCCTTCCTTTTGTGGGTGGTGGCGAACACAGAAAGAGCTCCATGAAGGCTTTGGGTGCACTTAAGGAGTACAAGGTGGTGGGGTGCTGCTTGTCCACTCTGAAGAGCCATATGCCACCACTATACCAAATGTGCATCTTCACACCCAACCATATGGTGGCCAAGGCCCTTCTGGTGTTTCGAATCTCCACTGAAGAAGATGAAGTCATCAAACACCTGTACAGTGGGCAGGTGTTTGAGAAGTCGCCACTGTGTGAGAAGAACTTCGATATCTGGCTATGCTCTGACTCCTGCATCTTGTACCATGGATACTGGGACCCGATCATGGCTGGCATCGTCACACAGTGCTACCAAGACATGGGTGCCCGGCAAAGTGTCCATGAGCACTCCATCCAGATCATGAAGGTGGAAGAGATTGAAGAGGGCAAGTGCTGCCTGCTGGCCATCAAGCAGTTCCTCAACTTCAAGATCAAATTCCTGTTGCCTCACCTCGTTTTGTGGCTCCAGCGCAAGCTGTGTTTCCCCATCAAGAGGCTCAACACCCAGAGACCCCCAGAGAGTCGAAGAAGATGAGGAAGAGATAAAAGGAGAGAAGGAGGAAGAGGAGGATGAGGAAGAAAGGGAAGGAAGGAAGGAAGGAAGGAAGGAAGGAAGGAAGGAAGGAAGGAAGGAAGAAAAACTAGGTTAAGTGGATTCAATATGTGGTTCCCAGCTACTTAGGAGACTAGGAGTTTTTGAACCATGAGTTCAGGACCAGCCTGCCTACATGGTTCAATTCTCATTCATATTCATTCTCTCTCTCTCTCTCTCTCTCTCTCTCTCTCTCTCTCTCTCTCTCTTTCTCTCTGTCCCTCAGTGTTGGGAATGGAATCCTGGGTTTGGGAATGCTAGGCAAGTATTCTTCCACTTAGTCATACCTCCAGCCACCCAGCTACTCCCTTTTTCTCTTTTTAAAAACATTGATTCATTTGTGTGTATGTGGTGGGGGTGTTGTGTGGGGGTGTGTGGAGACCAGAAGTCAGTCTGCAGGAGTCTGTTCTCTCCTTCTATCACATGGGTCTGGGGACTGAACTCGAGTCCTCAGGCTTGGCAGCAAGTGCCTTTATGTGCTGAGCCATCTCAATTGCCCTCTTCCTATCTCAGAAAAAGAGAAAAATCCCAAACTTGAGTCCCTTTATATTCTGCAGTCATCCTGGTCACTACCCAGCTCTGATTTGAAGAAACAGCCAGGGAGTTTGTCTTTCTGGGATAGAAATGGATAGCATACTATTGCCTCAGGTAGACCCAGCAAAGGGATTGCAGAGGCCCATTATTGCTGTAGGCCTAAGACATCTATCTCCCCAGCACATGCCATTGAGAGCAGTCAGAGCCATAAGTCCTCTGGAAGCCCCTAGAGCCCCAGCATCACAGATCCTCCCACTCTCCACAGGAACAACAGAGAACAGAGGAAGGAGCAAACCAGGTCCCTTCTCCCATAGCTCTGTTTGAAGACTGTGGTGGGGACAGAGTTGAGGGACAGAGTGCAGACAGCCCCTGTACCTGGGAGGTATCCTCTTGTCACGCTCCAGTCTGGGGCTTCGTGACAACAGACACACTTTGAGTTCTTTTCCAAGCCTTGGGTTTATTTTGCTTCTTGTTTTTCAGGCCTGTAGGACACTTATGTAGCACAGACACACACAGACTGTTCTGTGCCACTCCCAGTGACTGCAAAATTCATGGGCTCCCGAGTCTGAGACAGAGTCTGTCTCCTTTCCTACCTCTTCTTTCCAGGTAAGCCTGTTGTTTTATCCCCAGCTGGAAGCCCCCTCTGCCACAGGGCCAGCTCCCAGGCTGCTTATTCCACCCCAGCTGCAGCTCCTGCAATCCCCAGCCAACTCCCATTCCCATTTCCATGGCAACCGAAGCACATTTCCCATCCCTGCCTTTCTACTTCAGAAAGGAAAGGGATGATATGTCTCCTGTTAACGCTCCTGCTCACTGTCTTTCTTTTCTGTTTTTTCTTTGGCTGGCCTAGCACTGGCCATGTGGACTAGGCTGGCCTCAGATTTGTGGCATTCCTCCTACCTGATTTCCAGAGTCCCAAGATGATTACAGTCATGAGCCACCATGGCCAGCTCTTTACTTCTTTTGTTGTTGTTTTGAGACTGAGGCTCTACATAGCCCTGGCCTTGGACACACTACATAGACAAGGCTGGCCTCAAACTTGGAGATCTTCCTGTTGTAATTAAAGGTGTGTGCCACCAATTCCTCCTTTGACTTCTCTTTTGTTTCTTTTTGTGTTTTGAGTCAGAGTCTTGTTTTGTAGCCCAGTCTGGACCCAAACTCACGGCAGTCCTTCTAGCTCTACCTTTTGACTGTTGTAAATAATGCAGCTGTGACCACTTCTACATAAATATCTCTATAAATTCTGGGCTGGAGTAACACAGGTGGAAGAATATTTGCCACATGCGCAGAACCCTATGTTTGATCCCAAGCATCTTTCGTTTTCTTTTTCTTTTTTTTTTTTTTTTTTTTTTTTTTTTTTTTTTTTGTTTTTTTCACACAGCTTTGGATCCTCTGCCTGGAATTTGCTCTGACCCACAGAGCTGGCCTGGAACTCACAGAGATCTGCCTGTCTCTGCTTCTGTTGGGATTAAAAGTATGCACTACCATCTGGCTCTCTATCTATCTATCTATCTCTCTGTTTTGTTTTAATACAAGCTCTCACTATGTAGCCCTGGCTGGCCTTGAGCTGACAGAGATCTGTCTACCACTACCTCCTGAGTTCTTTCAGTGTTTTAATCAGTAAAGGATGGCTTTGTGCTTTGCCAACCCAGAGGAGTGTGAGGGCTTTTGTCACAGTGCTCTGATGGTGCTAACTTGCAGCCCTGGGTGTCTGTTTACTTACCATCTTGCCTGGAGAGGTCAGCAGTTGCCTGGCTATATCATTGTATCATCTCTGAAAATGAGGCCCCCAAGTGAAGCATGATTCTTCAGTTGTTTGGGCAGGATTAGTTAGATCACCCGCTTGCATTGAGCTCACAGAACCTTGGTGTATGGTGTGAAGGGCCTGGGAAAGCTTTTCCTGGGCACATGCTTTGTGTCTAAAGTTGTTGTTGTTGTTGTTTTTAATTGCATTTGTCCCTGTGCATGCATTCAAGTGCCACAGTGCACATGTGAAAGTCAGAGGACGATTTACAGGTGTTGGCTCTTTTCTACCATGTGGGTCTTGAGGATCAAACTTAGGTCCTCAGGCTTATTAGCAGCAAACACCTTTACTCACTGAGCCATCTGGTTAATACAATTCTACTGCCTATACATGCCATTGGACTTACTTTCTCTTGCCTGTTAAAAGTGTAAAGTACAGGCCCAAAAGCTGTCTTCTTCCCATGTGCGCCACAACATGCAGACACATACACACACTAAATACTTGTTGGTTTATCGGTTTTTTGAGACAGGGTCTACACAAGCCTGAAACGCAATCTGTAGAGCAGATTGGCCTTGAACTTATTGTCTCTGCCTGCCAAGTGCCAGCGTTAAAGGTGTGTGCACCATCATGCCAGGCTCTAAATACTTTTATTTTTAGTGGGAGATGGAGAGTGGTTAAGAGCACTTGTTGCTCTTGTAGAGGATGCAGGTTCAGTTCCCAGCGCCCACATGGTCATTCACAACCACCATTCATTATCTCTAGTTTCAGGAGACGAGACACCCTCTTCTGACCTCTGTAGGTGCTAGGTATGCATGTGGTGCACATACACACATATATACATACATGCCTACACACATACATACATGCATACATGCATACACGCCTACACACACACACACACACACACACACACACACACATACAAGCAAAACACACAGAAAATTAAATACACCAAAATTATTTCTTAGTGAAAAAAATGTGCCACGCAGAGTTGGGAGTACTTACTAGCATGTGCTCAACCCTGAGTTCACTCTCTAGTCCTGCGTTCACCTCCACCCTTAGGGCACATAGTATCTTGTGTATTTAATTCATGTATTTGGTTTTGTTGTTGTTGCTTTTGGTTTTTTTAAGACAGGGTTTCTTTGTGTAGCCTGTCAGTCCTGAAACTTGATCTGTAGACCAGGCTGGTCTCAAACTCTCAGAGATCCTCCTGCCTCTGCCTCCAAAGTGCTGGGATTATAGGTATGTGCCACCACCACCTGACTTTAATTCATGTATCTACCTAAAATGCTTCCTCAGATGATTTCCTCTCCTGGCTTCCCAGAGTGCAGTTAGGAGATGGTTGTCTGGCCTTTATTCCTAACACTAGAGTACTTAAAGCCTTGCAGTTTCCTGAATGACCAGCATTTGTTATGCTAATGAGTTCCCTTCAATCACACCTCTCAGTATGCTAATGTTCTTAAAGATGGGCCCCTGCAGGGTTCCTTGCCAGGCCTGTCACTGAACTGTTA